TGAAAAGGCATTGCTGAAATCGGTCCCAGTCTCGGTTGCTGGGTCTATTTTTCTCCCTCCGTCTGACTTTTGCCACCACTCGGTGTTCGCTCGACGTGTTCGTGTGTCTGGTATGCAGCCACGACGACGACCACGAAACCCATTTTCGCCAGCACCGAAGCAGCCCGTCTCGTGGACTGCCGACCAGCTGGGATGTGTATTCTCGTCTTCCGATGACCTCGACGTACCAGTCGCTTCTTCAGGCGCTGCCAGTCGAACTCATTCTCCCCAACACACCTTCGTTAAACAGGTCCAATGCCACTTGCACATAAAGCAGATATTTTGGCAAATTAACTCGCTTCTGTATGTGCGTAAAAGTGTGTGTGTGTGTGTGTGTGTGAATGTTTGTGTATACATGTGTGCATACGAAAGTATGTGTGCAAATGTATGTGCGTGAAGATACGTGTGAATGAATGTATGTAAAATTGTATGCGTAAATGTATACGTGAATGTGTGTCTGAATGTGTGAAAGTGTATGCGAATGTTTATGTATGAATTTGTGTGTGCTAGAGTATGTATGCGAATGTGTGCGTGTGTGTATGAGAATGCGTGTGTGCGTATGATAGTGTGTGTATGCATGTGTGCGAATGCATGTGCGCGAAGATACGTGTGAACGTATGTATGTAAAGGTGTATGCGTGAATGTGTGTATGTGTGAATGTGTGAAAGTGTATGCGAATGTTTTTGTATGAATTTGTGTGTGCGAGCGATGTGGTGGTCTGTGCGTCTGGCCATCAGCAGCTCCGTGGAATGGTCTGGTTAAAGAAGAAGACCTCAGAAGAGTCTGTCAGACGTGGGATGGCCTGACGACCAGCCAGAAAAGAGACGAGGCGATAAGTTGAGTCTCGTCTTCTTTTCTCTGCCAAAATGCCCATACAGTCAATTCTTCTGGTCACTTTGCTCTACGCCCCATGCACAGCAACTCTGCCATCCAGACCATTTCAATGACACAATCTCCGCGATGCCTTACACCCAGAGTTGAGATCATTAAAAAATGTCATGCCATACAATCGTCATGGTTGCTATTTGCTATTTCACACACACACACACACACACAAACACACATACGCATGCAGACATAAACATACATTTATATGGGCACGGTTTGTGTGTGCTGGTGTGTAAGTGTGTCGTCGTGAAGGTGTGTCGATGTGTTCTCTAGACAAGTCATTTTTCATCTCTTGTAAGTTTCCTCCTGAA